CCCATTATTTGTATCTTTGGAAGGAATAGTGCCCCATTATTGGCATCACTGGTAGAAATAGTGCCCCATTATTGGTGTCAGTGGAAAGAATAGTGCCCCATTATTGGTATCTTTGGTAGGAATAGTGCCCCATTATTGGCATCACTGGTAGAAATAGTGCCCCATTATTGGTATCTTTGGTAGGAATAGTGCCCTATTATTGGTATCTTTGGAGGGAATAGTGCCCCATTATTGGCATCACTGGTAGAAATAGTGCCCCATTATTGGTATCTTTGGTAGGAATAGTGCCCCATCATTGGTATCTTTGGTTGGAATAGTGCCCCATCATTGGTATATTTGGTAGTAATAATGCCCCATTAATGGTATCTTTGATAGGAATAGTGCTCCATCACTGACTGTAAAGACACGCTAATGGCCACAGTTTGGGGACCAATGTGTTAGTGGCTGAATAAATACAATACAACCCAACCAGTTCTATTTAACATATAGACATCAGTGTATAAATGTGGAAAATAAAATAGTTGGCAACCTAGTCTCAAACATGTTTACATTATTTCCAACGGTCTACCAATAAAGCTGAACTCCGAAATAATCAAAAAGTGTCTAAATACAATATACTACCGTGTGTATTCTTACTGGAATATTGATGAACTTTCTGTATTTTTTCTAAACCTGTGCAGTAATCCAGTGTGAAATGTAGCTTCCCGTAATAAAGACCAGTCACTGCTGCCCTCTCTCCTTGTGCAGGGTGACTGGTCTTGTCTCCGCCCCTCCTGTAGTTTTCTGCAGGCAGCCTGTAGTGGGTGGGGCCTGCTGGGTCCCTCCCACAGCTCTGCTTTCTGCACAGGCTATGTACAGCACAGTGACGATGTCACTGCTACATTTATAAGGTAATGATTGGGTTTGCAAAGGCATTTGGTGCACACAAAATTGATTTTTATCCCTCTGTGTTTAGATGAACATTTCTGTGCCCGGAGTTCAGCTTTAAAAGCATGAGCTCCAGTGACAGTGCTGGGTGTCACTGTTTATTATTTGGTTGTGTTGGTTTCCATGCTGCATACGATGGGGATCTCCACTGAACGGTTCACCCTGACGTCACTGGGTTTGCCTCACACCTGCACCCTCCAGAGGGGTGTACGCTGTCTGTGCTGCCTCCAGGCTCGGGACAGACTCAGACAGTGTGGGAGGCAGCTGCATTAACACTGCTCCGTCCAGCCCAGCTGTGTCACAGCCTGCCTCTGTGTGTGTGTATAGGCAATGCAAGGGTTATATTTAGGGTGTAACCTCTTCCTCTATATATAACCAACCTACAAGGCAAAGATTTCTCAACTCAGATTAATACAGCTGCTGAACAGTAGACACCACTCAGGACAACACAGCAGGTAGGTTCTATTACTTCTAATCCATACCAAATACCAGAATTTCTAGTATATAGTATAGTATAGTATAGTATAGTATAGTATAGTATAGTATAGTATAGTATATCATTTGTATATATTTTTGTAGCCGGG